ATTGGCTCATGGGCTTGAGAAACTTCATAGTTGATTTTTTCCAAAAAGGATGCTGGTCTTTCTCATCCCCTTTTTAAAGGATGAAAGAGAATGTCTAAGTAATACCACAGAGAGTCTGAACTGAATTTAGAGTTGAGGCAATAAGCCTCAATGTGCCGCTCAAACCAGAGTGTTGATGTCAGGAGGAGGGGGAATTCAGCCTGGTGGGATTTCCAACACTCATTGACAAATGTTCTCAAGACAGTTATGCAGCATCCTCCATGTTGAAGTCTGTCCTTTGCAAAAGTACCTTTACACAAGAAAACCATCGGGTCACAGATCATTTTGAAGAATCAACTCAGTGTCACAGGCTGATGACAGGTTGACATCTAAGGTCATGGACCAGCTTTCTTTGGGGGATGCCCTCATAGAGAGCAAGAGTTACATCAGCAAAATGTCACTGACAGCTGTCACCAAATACAACAGATAGGGCAGAGCATTGCTCGCTAATGCACCAACAGCTCCGTAAATCAAGAATCTGTGATGCCTTTCCTGAAGGCTGCAATGGAATGTTGTGTTAAAGCACTTTCTTGGTCAAACATAGATATATAAAACCCTACAGAGGATGGCAGTGCCAGTCTTATTTGTAACTACAATGTTTGGTGTTTTCTCAGGTATCTCTCTTTCTTGGACAGTTTTAGACAAACTCCTAAGAAAGTACCTTTCACTTACCAATACCAGAAAGCAGGTATAAACAGAAAGTCACTAACAAGTGAATGTAACATGAAAAGACTAATCTCTACTTTTGTAAATAGGTAATCAACAATTATGCTGAATCATGGCAGTGGTTTTCAGCATAGGCTCGAATCAGAGAGAGCTGAGATCTAGCTCCTTCACATGCCGTATGACCTCAGGACATGTTTTAATATCTCTGAGTTTCAGTTTCCTAGTCTTTATAATGAGAACAATAATAGTACCTATTCTATGGGATAGTAGAAAGGATTAAATTATGTAAGTAAAGCCCTTAGTATAGTGCCTGCCTCATAATAAACTATAAAAGTGTTAGCTATTTTTATAATAAATATTATTATTGTCACCACTATTACTAGTTAGAATTAAGAAAAGCTTTTCAAAAGTGATCACTTTGAATTTAACTTGTATGCCATCTGATCTGGAAGTATAATAAGGGTATCCAATTCCTACTGATTTAGTGAGTCAAATAGAAAACCAAAACAAATTGAATCATTCAACTGGTGTATTTAGAATTGCTGATGATTATAGCATTCAAGAAAGTTAGTGAATACATAAATTGCAACTGAACTGTTCTTGAAAATCCCCCAAATCAGTTTTCATTTGTTTAGCTTAATGGTGGGTAGGGCTTGTTCATTTTAAACATGTATATTTAGAGTCTTCTAAAAAGGAAACCTTGTGGAATGTGAACATGAAGGAGACAAAAGGTGTTAAGACAAAAAGGGTATGCCCAAATCATTTATGTCCCACCTTTGAAAACAAAAAAGAATTCACTGCATTCACATATCACTTTACACTTTTCACAGAATTATCACCACATTGCCATTTTATTTAATTGTGTGTGCGTGCACACACACATAGATATACACCCCAAGGGATGTACACCACAAAGTACACATTCGGCCTCTTTGTATCCAGCACTGATTCTCTTCTAAGTCTGCTCTGCTGTCAGAGACCAGGGTATAGATGGAGGGGAAGGTCTGGTGTTCACACCAAGGTTATGGGTCCACTCCAGAAATTTCATTCAAAAGATGATTTGATTAACAAAATTTGAGAGAGACTGGTATATGTATTTCTTTTATCATCTAATTAAAAAAAAAAAAAAAAAACCTCCACAACACAACTTGGATAAAACCACTGCTATCAAAGGTCTTAATGTAGCATAATTTGTGTTGAATGTGTTGCATTCTGACAGTGCTATAAACCAGGAAGACAGTTTACTGACAATTCTGCGCTACCAGATACCAACTCAGGCCTCTGTCCAGCTCTGTGTTGTCAACTCTCACGGATACATGAGCAATTTCACAGCCTCCAAGGACGCTGAAGTTTGGATTGCGAATGATGAGATGGACAGATTTCATATTTTCATTGTAGAGATATATATTTTTTTGCCTTTTCAAACTGCTGAGCATAATTTTTTTTTAAGGCAGGAAATGCAACTAGTGTTTGTTTCTACCATGGCTTCTGTTTTGAGATTTTTCTTTGTAGAAGAAATGTGTTGCCCAGCTGTCTAGAATTCCAATCAGGATATGGTTTCAGTATGAAATATATTACAAGAGTGATTTTAGCTGGTTATAAACAGGAATGAAAATGAGGCCGGGACTATTTTATTTAATTTTTACCCACAGAAGGGGCGCTCTGAGTCAGTCTAATGGAGCCAATATGAGTAAATGAGGTAAAGTTTAGTTCTGTTTTTTGCCCAGGAAGGAGAGTAATTGTGAAAGGCAAAGGTTCACATTAGTGAGAGCAAGCAAAGCTGTGGAGATTTTCAGTTACAGAGATTCTCAGAAATAAAAGTCATGTGGCCACTGATCAAAAGTACTGCAGTAAACACTTAAAAGGGTGGTTCAACCTGAGTTGAACTGCTGGAAAGTTTAATGCTTCTCAGTAATAATACTTCTTCTATCTGCAAAACATACACTCACACACATACACACACACACACACGTATATATACACATACACATTATTCAACAAATATTAACTGTGAATTTCCTTCTATGGAGACCCAGGGCTACTACTGGTTAATGGAGGAAGATACAAGGATGATTCAGGTTCTACCATTTTAGGTGTATAGAGATTTATGGAAGAGGCAGATATTTCAACCAGTATCTTATTATTTTATTCTAAGACTTTCAAATTTTAATGTTTCTGAAATGTAATCTCTGAATACATGTGATAATATTCTCTCCAAAAGATGGCATTATATCTCTGAGCCTTGTAATAAATGGAATTTTCCAAGTTAGATATATATCTATTACTGTAAATTCGACTATCCAATGAAATGGGAACCTAGGAGGAAATTGTTCATAACCTGAGCCTTGAAGACTAAGGAGAAATCTACCAGCCAGGAAGTGGGGTGGTAAGGAAAAGATAGGAGGATATTGAAAGTAGAGGCAAGAGAGTATGCAAAAACGTTAAGTAATACAACAGTATGTAAATATGGGAGTATAGTTAGAAATGTATTGTGAAGGAAATTCAGAGAATCTGAAGCTAGCTAGAAGTTAGGTGGAAAGCCAGAGTATGAAGTCTTTGTGTAAATTCTCCCAAAGCCAGAGACATAATTGACTGTTTTTAAGTGAAAAGAAAACTTACATGTATCGAACAACTCTATCATGAGTTTGTTATGTTACTAAGGTAATTTTCACAACTGTTTCCAAGGTATCCCCAAAACTTTTCCTGTATTTGCTGATTAGAACCAGAACACAGAGAAGTTAAGTAAAATGCCAAGGACACAAGTAGAGAGAGTGGGTTCTACCACGTGTCTAATTTTAAACCTATTAACTATCTATAACACCACATTGTGATGTTTTAGTCTCCTTGTTTTTAATATTTTCTACTTTTTCATTTTTTAAAAATTCATAGTTTTTTAAAGAGAAGCTTTATGCTTATATTAAAATTGAATGGAACAATATAGAGTTTCCATATACCCCTTGTATTCTTCCCGTCACTGATTGCCATCGCCCAGCCCAGTTTCCCTTATTATTCACATCTTGCATTAGTGTGGTACATTTGTTGTAATTAATGAGCCAATATCAATACTTTATTATTAACTGAAGTCTATAGTACACATTAAGTTTCATTCCTTATGTTGTGCTCTATATAGATTTCGAGAAACATATAATGTCATGTATCCACCATTACAATATCAAAACTGAATAGTTTCGTAGCTCTAAAAATCCCACGCTCACCTATTCATCCCCCCTTCTCCTCAAATCCTCTGCTGCCACTGAACTTTAACTGTCTGCAAACTTTACCTTTTCCAGATTGTCATACAGTTGGAATAACATAGTATGTAGCATTTTCAGACTGATTTCTTTCACATAGCAATACATATTTAATAATTGTCTAAGTCTTTTTATATTTTGATAGCTCATTTCTTTTTGTCACTGACTAATATTCCATTATATGAATGTACCATGGTTTATCTATTCACCTATTGAAGGACATCTTGATTGCTTTCAAGTTTTGCCAATTATAAATAAAGCTGCTACAAAAATTTGTGTGCAGGTTTTTGTGTGGACATAAGTTTTGAACTTGTTTGGGTAAATATAGAGGAGTGTAATTTTTGTGTAATATGGTAAGAATTTCCATACTACATACAGCCATAATAAAATGTTTATTTTCATAAGAAACTGCCAAACTATCTTCTAAAGTGGCTGTACCATTTTGTATTTTCACCAGTGAATGAGAGTTTCTGTTGCTTCATATCCTTGTCAGCATTTGATGTTGTCAGTGTTTCAGATTTTAGACATTCTAATAGCTGTGTAGTGGTATCACATTATTGTTTTAATTTGTAATTCTTTAATGATATATGCATTTCCTAATTTTTAGCTCTCAATTATTGAGTATATATTTTTCTAATGTCTATAATTTTGACTCTTTAATTTTCCATCACTCATTCATTCATTCATTCATTCATTCATTTATCAACATTTATTAAGTGTCTATTGTATGCCAGTAACACTTTTAAAAGTTAGGCTATTTTTCTTTCTTTTGCTCTTTAATTATTCTCGTCTCCATTTTTAGTTTATCATATTCCGCTCACTCTTCATTTCACATGAACTATTAGTTAGTCTCCCTCTCTATTTTTTTATGTAAACATAATTTTATTTTTATTTCTCTGGTGATAATTGTTTACTTTCTTCAGTTTTCTCTTCAAAGATTTTATCATTATATATTCACTATGCATACAACACAAAATCCGAAATAGTGCTAGAGATAAAACTACTAAAAAAAAAATCTGAAGTGAGGAAATCACTTACCTTGGTTGACAATAAATCGTAGTTTCTGTATTGTTGCCAAGTTGCCACTAACTCGATATATTCCATCAACATCTAGACCTGAAAATAAAAGAGCATGTTTTATATTTGTTGATATGAAAACTGAGATGGAGAAAAAAATTAATAAATATGGGAAGAAAGACAGTAATAAATCATCATCAAATATCTTTCTCACAGAAAAAACACATTTCTATGTCCTAAATCAAGTGGTCTTCCATATTTTAATCCTAGTAGACTAATCATGAATTTTAGTAACAGCGATCAACAAATCTGAGTCTAGTTGAACCATAAAAGAGCAGTAGGTAGCATGGGATTTCACAGTATAATTAAGATTCATTCCAAAGAAAAAGACAGGAATTAAACTGAGGGGGCACGTGACAGGGAAGAAGAACCTTCATGTATACATGTATCATTGTCCCTTTTTTGGCAAGATAGAATAATCCAAGACGTTTGTGAAGTCTTGCTTTCTTCTCTCCTCCTTCCTTTCCTTCCTTCCTTCCTTTCTTCTTCCCTCCCTTCTTTCCTTCCTTCCTTCATTCCTTCTTGTCTCTCTTCTTGCCTCTCCTTCTCTTCCTGCTCCTGTCACTCTGTCTCTTCTCTCCCTTCCATTATTACTTCTTGTTTTGTTCTGTTCTGTTCTGTTCTGTTCTGTTCTATTCTATTCTATTCTATTCTATTCTATTCTATTCTATTCTATTCTATTCTATTCTATTCTATTCTATTCTATTCTATTCTATTCTATTCTATTCTATTCTATTCTATTCTATTCTATTCCACTTCCTTCCATTCTTTTTCCAGTATCACTACGGCATAACATCTTATTGGTACAATTATTTCAAACTATAGAATGAAAATTCTATTCTGAATGTGTAACTATTTTGATAATCTCTAGTGTATTAGAGGTAATTGGGTGCTCCATTATGGAAGGAAAAAATAAAAAGAAATTCTTGACAAAAGGGTGAAATTAGTTTCAGATTATTTTATAACTGGTCATCTATAATTTTAAATAATTTATGGTAACATTGGCTTTGGATAACCAACCATTTGTTTTCCACACATCTATTTATAGCATCTAGTTATTTCTGGGAACAAGTTATCAAAAAGACAAAGAGACAGGGAAAGAAAAAGAGAAACACTTATCAAAACATTATCATTGTCTCTAAAAAAAGTTGATAACACAATTTTAATGTCAGGAGTGTATGTGTCTACGCCCTCAGAGAGGCCTGGGTGAGATTACCAACCAATGTAGAGATCACTCTCTTAGCAGTTTCTCAAAAGTGGTATAGTAGCATGGTTAAACATTAAATTCATGATCATTAAATAAATCGAATAGAAATTAATTTTATAGTGTAACATTATAAAAGCTTTGTAAAGCTCTTTACCAATGTGAAATGGGCTTCTTTATTGCTACATAATCTCTGTTTTCACATACTTTAATAGGAACATTTCTGTCATTGTGAAAAAACATGTCATCAGTAGGTTAGGGTAGAATAACATAACCTGAAACAGTGGTATAAATAGCATAATTCAAAACAATCTTTAATTGTTTAAGACTTTATTTTTTTAGGGCTGTTTTAGATTTATTGCCAAATTGATGGGAAGGTACAGAGATTTCCCACATACCTCCTGACCCCACATATGCATAGCTTCTCCCATTATCAACATCCTCCACCAGAGTAGTACATTTATTACAACTGCTGAAACTACATTGATACATCATAATCACCCAAAGTCCAATGTTTACATTATGACTCAGCCTTGTTGTACATTCTATGGCTTTGAACAAATACATAATGATGTATCCATCATTATAGTACCATCCTGAGTATTTTTGTCCTAAAAGTTCTTGTGCCTCACATATTCATTCTCACTGGTTTTTACTTTTCCATGTAATAAACTACAGAGTAACCTGAGATAACATCAATAAAATGAAGTAGCTATTAGCAAATGTATTAATTGGTGAGTTTTGTAGTTCTAAAATAATCTAATAACGAATTACCAGCTCTCTGTTCCTTCCTTACAACTTAAATATATGAGGAATTGAAATGAGGTTGGATATCTATTAGTGTGTAGTGAAAGTGTCTAAGACACATGTTAATAAAAAATCAAATACATTCTTTCTTCTTGATGCACTAAATAGCTCTATTAATCAAAAGATGCTCCGATTTGCTTGCTTTTAAATACAATGTACATTTGACAACTTAAATGTGGCAATCATCCTAATCAAATTTGTTCTAATATTTGATTCCTAGTTTTGGTATTAGACCATGTTGGTCTTTAATTTATGCTAGTATACCCAGAACTTTATGATCTATTAACCATTTCTTTCTTGCTTTGGCATTAGATAATATTTGGTACTTAGTTTTAAATATAAAAACAAATAACATGATAGATTTAAATAATATTAAAACTTATGCATTCAAGTAAGTATGTCCTTTTCAAAGTTTTCCCCGTTAGGAGTGTGCTTAATTTTTCTGAATTCATAGCCATTAAGGAATATATTTTGGATTCTCTAAAATCACTTCAGTAACTCCATAGTGTCTACAGAAAAATGCTCACAATGGCAAGTTTGGGGCCTTTCGTGACAGTTTTGGATTTGGAAGTAGTCAAAGTCCATCTAGAATCATGAATGGTGAATAATGTTCTCTCTCTTGCCAATACAAAGTTTATCCAAATGCCAGTGGTCCTGATTTTTTCCATGAATTATCAGTTGCTCTGAAGGAATTTGAGAAACAAAATATTTTAGAAAATAAAAACATCAATGAAATATGTAGATCTATGTCCTTCAAATGAAAAATCTTAATTTTTTTAAAGAATCAGTCAAATTAGCCTTATTTAAAATAAAGATTGAAAATGAGATATCAATTAACACCTATTACAATAAAAATGAGAAATAATACTCTATAAATATTTTTACATTATTTTTTATCTTCTTAATTAGTTGGACCCCTATTAGAGGTCAGTAGTAAATGAAATTATTTCAATTCCAACATATTTTAATTGTAAAAAGCACCTTGTTTAAACCTCATTTTAATATGCATATCTCTATATATGAGGTATGAAATCAGATGCATTTCTATTTTGAAGTTAGACTCTTCCTTTTCTTATATTTTTTTATATGTTATTGAAATGCGAATGTTGTCTAGAGTTATAAACTGAATTTTAATTGCCGAAATTACTGTATATCCAAAAACTTTCTTTTCCTATTACAGAAATTTAAAGTTACAACATAAGAAGTGCCTCCTTGGTTTTTCATAAATTTCAGTAGTTTTTTTTTTTTTTTTAAGTTCTGTAATCAAAAACATTTGAAAGAGCAGTATGGGTTAGATATATTAAGTATGAGCAATTGAGAAGCAGTATACTGTTTAAACAAAGCAGCCTCATCCTAAATTAATAACCCAATTTTCTTTTGGGATAAAAGGAGGGAGGGTTGGGAATGGTGACAGGGAGGGTAAGCCAGACCAGTGCCACCACTGTGGTTGTAGAACTAAGTCACAGCAGAGAAACTGCTTTGCGGCTTAAGATAAAAACCAGAAAAGTAAGAGGGAGTAAAGCAAAACATATTGGATGCAATTTGACTCTAACGTGACACAATTTCCAAACTCTTTAGATTCAGAGATATCAATACAATTTATCTTGTGAAGGATAACAATCTCTGACATTAGTGGCTTTTGCTTTGAATGGCTGCTGCTCCCCTGCTATCATATTTTTTAAATTACATAAATAGAGTGAAAATGACAAAGTACATATTAAAAAGGAGGGTATTACATTTTGCAAAATAATCTGGAACATATCAGTGAATTTTAGCAGTTATAAATTATATAGGAACAGTCTTGAAGTTGATTAGCTTTCCCCTGAATTGTTCACAGAATGGCAAACCCAAAGTCCTGGAAATATTACCCAACTTGATTCACGTGCCATCCTCCTTTTGCTCCAAGAACTTTAAAAATTATGCCAGATCAAACCAATGTAAATTGGTAGATTTGGACATCCTTTCATGACCACATTATCCTTGCTGGATTGGAAACTACTTATTTTGGAAATATAATTAGACCTCTTATGATTTTTAAATGAGCAATGTCTTCAAGGTATCCATGTTGTACTCTGGTGATGTTTGGAGAAAAAACACTTTGAGAGGTACTTCTTTCAAGAAAATACCGTGACCATGAATGCTGACAGGAATTTTGCCTGTTATGCTAAAAATACTTTGGGAACAGGATGAAACTAAGTCATCAGCTGACCTTCTGAAGTTTCCAAATAGTGTTTACTATTGACAAGAATCACCAGTATTGCTGTAGGGGATTTTCGAAATTACCCCTACCCACCACGTCCCCTTTTTCTTCTGAAGAAGCTTAGACTAGGATAGACACACAATTAGAAGTTGTTAGACCAAACGGTGGTCTAAACCCAGTGGAAAGAATGCAGCTGTCATGAATAATTCCCACCATAAATCTCAGACACTTTCCAAAAAGAAATCTAAGAGACAAGCACTGTTTCCAGAGTTGAATGGCTTATCTACCAAAATATGGACATTTTTTAAAAATGCAGATGAGCCTGTTAAAAATGTTGCAAACTGTGGATTAGGTAGCATTCTGAATAAATCATGGAGATGTGGACTTTGAGCCTGGTTGAGAGATGTGCCCCCAATTTGCTGCTTGTTTTTCTGGAACATAACAACAAAAAAAATGCATCTGAGTCTCTGGAGTCTGAAATGTGGGCTGGGAATTTTGCACAAACAGTCCCTCTCTGGAGATTTATGGCACTTCCTAATTCCTAGGAGGCCAGAGCTACCGCAAGAACAGTCATTCTCCCAATACTTTGGGTCTTGTGCTTCTCCCTCTGGCAAGAACCTTGAGCACAGGAACACCCAGACTACCCCCAAACATTGTTTCACATTTCCTTCTCAGTTTTTCTGAAGATCCTGGTTGGGTTCAGAGCTGAATATGAGAGGATGTTTTATGCCATTCTGAATGGCATAAATTTCCTCTTCTAAATTAAAGCATTTCCTCCAATCTTCTATTGCTAATTTATCTGTTCATACACTTTAAATTCAATGACTG